TGCTGCTGCTGCTGCTGCTTGCGGCGGCACTGCTACTAGCATGGCCAAATCGCGGCTGCTCCGCCACCACTGTTACCACTACCACTGCCCCGACGCCTCCACTTTCAGCGACCGCGACCTGCAGTCCTCCTCCTCCTCCTCCTTCGCTTGTATTTCTGCATTTATTAGCAAATCACAAGCACCATCACCACCGTCCCAATGATTGCCAGCATGTTCAGTTGTTGGTTTTTCTTTGTCATTCCTGTTGTTGCCAATGCCACGGTTCTGAGGCAGATCGAAACAGTGCCAACGCGAGTTATGCATGTGCGGAAGACGAGGTCTGTGGCCAAGAGTTCTCTTTGGCTTTTGGGTATAGGTCTTGGCTTTTGAGGTTCAGAGGTTCATCGATTCTAGGTTGCAGTGGAGGATCGAGGGATGGAGGTTTGCCAGGTGTACTAATCAAGGCTTTTCAGAACTTTGAACTGAGCTGCATTTGGGTCGTGGATGCGAAGTTCATTCAGTACCATGCGCTCACATGATGACAAGTTGTGCGGAAGGTCGCCTCAGGGGAGGGGCCCCTTCTGTGCGCCTCTTCAGGCCTACACTCAAATAACCCCTATGTAATCCCAGTTTCCATTTCATTTTCCATTTTCTTTTCCATTTGATTCTCCATTATTGGGGTAATATTGGGTACCATAGTATCCCCAAAGGCCAATCCTCAGGCCTCTTTGAAAACTTCATGATGAACTGGGCTACAACGGATCGATCCTGGCGTTAATGGCGGTTGCAGGAAGGGTTGCATGCGTTAGCACTGACACCGCGGCAAGGGTAGGCAATCAAGCAGGAAGTGCCCGCGCAGCGAACTTATAATCATGCCCACAGGCATTAGCCCTGACAGCATGGTGCCTGGAGTTCATCTGAGGTCTGCCCTCGATGCAGAGGACAGCCAGACTTCAGAGTTTCTTGTCCAGCAACTCGCTGTTCTGCCAGGCCGCCTGCACCAAGGTGGCACGGAAAGCAGCCAGCTCAAATCACTTCCAGCCGCTAAAGGGAGAAGGGTATGAGAGGGTCTCCATTCACAAGACGCCAGATACGGTGAACCATAAGATCGCTGCGTACTGGTCTGATTCCGACGTAGTGCGACTCTTGATTTGTTTAATTGACCGACCGCCCGCCCAGCGAGATGACTGTTTCATGGGAAGGTCACACCCCTCTCAGGCAAACAGGGCTTTGGACATTTCAACAGTGGGTTACAGCAAGGCAGTACCGTTGCCGACTCTCGCACGCAAGCTCTCAGAACTAGAGTAAGTAGAGCTGTCATTGCCAAATAATCGCTGTATCTCTCGAAATCTTGGTATGAACGAGAGCATGCCGAATCTAGTGCTATAGCAGCGACCTAGTCGCCAGCATGATGATGGCACTGGCAACCATTTCTGTAACATGCTTTTGAGGTGTACTCGCAAGTGCAGAAGCTTGCGCAGCAGGTCTCCGAGGAGGAGGTGCGGTGTGGATAGTCCTGTTTATCAATTCGCACTACGTGCCAAAGTAAGGTCGAGATGCAAAAGACGGTATGTACACTGGGAGTATATGCAGATTGTGACTTTGGCACGTGCTAACGGCTGAGAGGTGTAGAAAAGGCATTTGCTCGAGTCAGAGTCACCTTGAGGATTTCGCCTGCCCAACTTCCAACCATCAGCTCATCACCCCAAAACATGTCGCACCCTGCATCCTACATGATGGATCCTTCGCATGCCCAAGCCCCAAACAGGATGTGGACGACAGCCGCTGGGACATAGGGAACGTGCTGCGGCGCCCTCGACACTTGCTAATGATGCCTGAGTGTTATGCACATCCCTGTGGCTGTAGCTTGGGGAAATCAATCCCCCTAGCCCGTTGGAAATGACTTTAAGTTTGTATCAATAAAACTCATAACCCCAAGGGACTATTTCGGAACTAAATTTTGAAAGGTCATTATTACTATTACTAGTATTACTATTGCCTATACTACTATACCTCTGATTATTGCACGTGTTATTCCTATTATTATTCCCCTAAGCCCTAAACTCTAAACACTAAAAGGATTACAGATCAGCTAGGAATTTGCCAAGGTTCCGGCTCCTGGGTGTGGATAACGAGGTCGACGCAGCCCAGAGCAGAAGCCCTGGCGGAAAGTTGCTGCAACGAGTAAATAGGGGTTTAGGGTTTAGGGTTTAGGGTTATAGGGGTTATGTAGGGGATATAATATGAACTAGAGCCTAAATTCCTCCAAGGGGGTTATAGAGAGGATTCTGTAAGTGAGCCTTATAGGCGCTATCAAGGGGGATACTAGGAGTTTAGACTATAGCTATATAGGGATTATGTAGGGGAGATGTAGGGATTATCTAGGGGTATAAGGGACTATGGGATCAAAGGGGCATTGTAAGGATATATATATATATATGTAGGGTTGCATAGATATCATTTTCGAGTGGAGGCACGAGAGCCTACCCATTCCTTAATCTTTGAAAGTAGTTTGGAAGGTAGATTCCTGTCTCGTAACATTGCAGTGGATGGGTCAAGAGCTCTCCTTACGATAGGTCTGCCAAACTACTATACAAACCAGGAGGGGCTGTGCGTGTAGCTTAGCTCCACTAATCTAAAGGTGTTGTTTTGAATTTGCCCTGGACATAGGATTTCATTCAAGCCGCCAAAAGTCCAATTCCTAGCAGCTTCCCGCAGTACTGTGACTCTGACATGACAATATCAGAAGAATGCAGCACCTGCATTGGAAACCCAGATCAGGGTTACTTCAAAGGCCCATAGCCACAGGTCTACATCCCAAGAACTCCGTAGAGAGACAAGGTGTGCTGGCCCTGATCGACGGCTGCCAGCACATCCTTGCCGCGCAGCCATCGCTAACGGAGGTGGTGATAAAGGGGGATATAAGCGGATGGGCTTTGTCAATGTGATTTATAAAGCTGCAAGGGCGATTAGTTTACATAGAGACTCTCGACGACGAAGAGGATTTCTGTGGACCAGGAGCACGTCGGAAGATCCGTGTAAACGGCCATGGTAGAAGACGTGCCTGTTTCCCCCTGCAGGTAGACGTCCCTTGCAAGATCTTTGGCGATATCCACGGCCAGCTGCGAGATCTGATCCTGCTGCTCTGAACCCAGAGGAGAAACCCGATAGGAAGCCCTCCGGTCCAAGACTCGAAGACTGCATGCCCTACTCTGTCTGATCCAGAGTTCTGCAACGTCATTTGATCCCCAGCCACCGCAACAAGCAAGGTTCCATTCATTTGGCATGCCACGGCCCCAGACAAAAACACGCTCCTCTGCGGGCTTCAGAGGTAGTTTGTGTCGCAGAGGACCTGGATTCTGGCAGATGAGTAGCCTTGAAACGAGAAAGCTTGCCTCCTTACTCGGCCAGCCCACAGGGCAGAAACAAGTGTTCTTGTGCATTGCCCTTCAGAGGGCTTGAAGAAAGATGTATGTGGAGTTGAGGGGAAGTAATTCGGCATAGCGGTGGTGCCTGCGTGCAAGGATGCAAAATGAAGTGCTGCGCCTGAAGGATGCATTGCACGCGCCGCCACGCGGTCCCGCTTGCAAGCTCAGGCCAGGAAGCAGCGACTGTCCCCGCTGCGTCTTCAACGGGGACTTCGTGGACCGTGGCAAGCGGAGGGCTTGGCGTAAGGCCTCTTAGGATTTGAAAGCCAGGAGGCCAAAGCTGACAGGTACATGTCAGATATCTCCAGCTGACTGGTGACTAGTGTAGCGGAAGAACCAGCTTGAATTCCAACAGCAGAGGTTTCTGCAAGAGGCACTTGAATACCTTCTGGCTTCTTCGCATGATCCCTGCACGCCATGCCGAGGCATCAGGTAGAGACGGCTCTTGTCCTTTTCGCGCTCAAGGCTCGCAGCGCCAAGCCATAGAGATGATGGTATGTTGGTGCATTGCCAATGCACTGGCCCCTGTTTCGTGCCAGAAGCAGGTCAAGTTCAGCATGTGAAGCTGCGTTGGGGGAGGAAGCTGGGTGGGAGATTGACTCTACGTCTTCTCATCCGTTGCATGAGAGATGACTTAAAATGCGACGCAGTAGGCTGGGGCTTGTTGGTCGAGCGGGTACGGCTTGCCGTATCAGGATTGTCAGCATTCTCTTCAAATCTGCCAGGTCATGTTCCCGACTCAGGTTTTCCTCAATCGAGGAAACCACGAGGACCGCTCACAGTTTGCGTTTACGTCTACTGTATTGATCAAACGCATGTCCTGAAGATTCAAAGCGTTAGTGCATGGGGTCTTGGCAGGACACGACCATGAATGAGAAGTATGGCTTCCGGAGAGTGCCTGCGAATGCAATGAGCAGGAAATAGTCTCACTGGTGTTAGTAGGATGTAAGGGAATAGAATTCCTGTTTAATCCCTGCCCTATATAATGTATTCCCTTATTCCCTACTACCCCCAGCAAGTAATCTGTCCTGCGAATTCTTTTTGCTTGGCAGCTTCCCACAGGTGATTCTCGAGAGTTTTCCCGGCGACTCGGGCCTCAAAATCTACTCCGCCACTGCCTTGCAAGCCAGTTCTGTGGAGCACGACAACCTCTGCCACTGAGATTTACTGAGGGCTAGTCGGAAGAAAGGAATTCCCTACTATCCACCAGTAAGTAGTATTCTGCTTCATGCTCATGTTACTGGCAGTGGGCCATTACCAGCAGCAGCCATGCTCATGCGTCGCTATTGTTATTGGCTCATCTGATGCTACTCGCAGCCCCAACTGTTCAGCACGACTGAGGCCTTCTCCCGATGCTTTCAGTACCTTCCCTTCGCTGGAGCCTTGTGGGCTTTGTTTGGGCCGGTGTCTTCTGGATTTTAAGGAGGACTCAGCCTGTCTTTCCTGTTCGTCTTAAATTGTCTGGTAAATTGGTAAGAGTCTGCCTTTGAGGCCTGCCTTGTGGGAGGCAAAGTCCTCGCGCTGCCTGGAGCCGAGCATCCAGGGAGTTCTAGTGTTGCTGAGTGGGATGGAATGTATGGGCTTAAATGATAGGACTAGGGGATTGGCGGTTTGGTATACTATAGGACTGTAAGTGAATGATGTTGTTCAGGCTTGTGCATGAAGATTCCTGTGTCCGAGATCGCCTCAGCCTTCGAACGCCCTCAGAACCTCTTTGACCTAGGCATGGAGGAATTGGTGATGGGAAGTGGCAACGACCCTGGTGAAGTTTTGGGACATATCATATGCAGAACTCGTCAAAACTCCCTGAGGCGCCTGGAGGACCTGCGGGCAGTAAGGCGGCCTCTGAACCATGATCAGCTCCAGGTGGCTTGGGGTGGAAAGGGTTAAGATGTGAGCAGGCTTCGAGCATCTGATCCCTCAACCCATCTGGTAGCGTGTGGCGCCGTTAATTATTCTGGATGTTTCTGAAGGGCTCCTAGTCATACAACATCTGGTGCAAGAAGGATTGCGTCGCGGCGTCGCTTGTGGCTTGCTGTCCCAACAATGTCAGCGTCGTGACGTTCTTGTGATGTTGTGAACAAGCAAGACTTGGAAGTTGTGTCGCATACTGAAGCTTGTAGACGCGTGAAGCCTTTCATGCCTCTGACACCACACAAGGTTACAAATGCTGCATGTGTACACTCGAAGCGTGAGATGCGAGGCTGAGCACAACCGCATGCTTTGGAACATCCTTTGGCCCATATCTCAGCAAGAGCTTTTTGATTTGATGAATCAATGGGCTTCGTTCCGTGGGTTTGGAGAGGAGGTAATTGTGTCAAATGCCAAGAATGCTGCAGTATGACAACTTCTGGGGTCTGTTGCTGTGGAGGTATTTATGGATCTTTTTCCAGGGTCGTCATCTTGCTGCTGATAGCATCTGTTCATGTCTGGTACGTTTAAACATGCGTAGTAGGCCTTCTATTGTGCTGTATTGCCGACTTGTGTGGCGATTGTGCCTCTACTGGTGCTTGCCACTGCCTCCGAATTGCGCCCATACTCACACTGACGTTGAGCGCGCTGCCTTGTCCAAGCGCTAGGCCGCTATGATGCACGGTTATTGTCTTCATTGTGACTGCTACGTAGTGCTGGTACTGGTACCATTTTTGCATTACGTACTGTTCGAATTAGCCGCTGTTGCTGATCCATTGCTTCGTCTGTCGCTCCAGTATCTCCAGTGTTCTAGAACTAGGCCTGCCTGCTGATGGCTGGTGCCGTTTCTGGTCTTCCTGGGGCATACACCGTCATTGTGATGATCAGGCAACCTTACCTACTAGTCCAGCCAGTGCTCGCGGTATGCCCAGGTCGGACCCCATTGAGGACGACTCCGAAAACTTCAAGGTTTTCGGCGTGCCAGGTCCTTGTTGCACGTAGATGGGCAAGCAGAGCTGTCTCCATCAAGGAGTGCTGCTCAATCTGTCGGGGGATTTTGGACACTTGCCATAGAAAGTTGGTATCAAAGAGGAGCCTCAGACTTACTCTCGACCTGTGCCCCGAGGCACAATTCACCGCGCAGCAAAATGGCTGTGCGATTTGGTCTGACCCTTGACTTTTGCTGCCATGCTCCTTCGACATGAGATTGACAAGCGCGCACAAGCCAACTGGCATTAGTTGAGACAGGTGAACAGAGTAAACCACAAATTGCCAACTTGCTGCAACTGGAAGGCTTGACTTCTTTTCCATTTCAAGTTCTCAAACAACAGTGGATCTTACACAGAACTGCCCCCCACTTGCCTGGCACTCTTGCGTAATCGCCAACCATGGTGTCCTGAAATTCTCAGATCATTCCTGAGGTTGGAACGTGACGCAGGACGGAACTGTCACTGTTGGAACGGGTAGGGCGGACTTGATGACAAGCTATGTGCACAAATCTGAGCAAGCCTTGATTTTAGAAACTCCCGCATACCTTAACTCACTGAAATGCGACGCTGAGACAGGTGAACACATGGCAGGGAAATCTGGATCGAACGGCTATGTACTCATAACGGCCATCATAGCATCTCTATAGGTTCTAAAAGCATATTTTGACCAAAGTGGTGAAGCTGGGCACGAACTTTTTTGCCAGTCGATGCTGCTAGTTTCAGGCAAAAGCCTGAGAGACCCCCGAGACTCCAAGCGCTAAACTGTGTAAGGAACCCTCAGAGCATCTCCAGGACTTCTGCGTCCGCAACGGACTTGACCTTGTGGTGCGAAGTCACCAGCATGGACCTCGGGTCAGTCGCGGCACCCGAAATCCGACAGTGGCAACAAGATGTGAACCCACTGTTGCTGCAAAGATGCAACTATCACCCGTGTCGGCACATCGTGAGCCATGCTAGCCAAGCTGGAGATGCCTGTACGACCACCTTGGTGTGCTTTCAATTGTGTGAGTCGTTGCTGTGCTGATCGGGTTGACAGGTCGAAGAAGGAAGGACTAGGTGCAGCTCCCGGTTTGTGCAGGTGCATGGTGCTTGGTCTTACTTCTTGGCACTAGTAAGGGCTTGAAGCCTCAGTACTCCCCACTAACCACCGGTAAGTTGTGTGCTGGTTAGCGTGGTGGCAGCAGTGCTGTTGCGTTCAAAGATCAGATGCCGGCATTTCTCGACGCGCTATATGGACCTGTTGTCTTGGAGCTACGGTGGTGCAATCGTTACAGTGGATATGTTCATCTGACATTGTGCTGATGCCTTTTATCCGGGCCTTTCAGTCCCCAGCCGCCCAGGGTTCGACGTCATGCACAACGAGTCCCTTGTTCGAGTCTTCTCCGCTCGCGACTACGAAGGCAACCGGAATGATGGCTGGAGCCCAAGACACTCTGTGCATGCAGGCGTCAATTCACGTGTCAAACCTTGAATGATGCAATTAACATAGTGTGGGAAGAGTCTCTTTCACAAGATCCTTAGGCTGCCACCGGACGCGTGATGTATAGCATTGTGAAGTTTAAGCCCAGATCTCTTTCTGCCCTCTGTGAGGACGGCTGCATAAGAAGGGTTTTACCTTTGTGACGAGAGTCAGCTCTGAACAGCAGCAGCCCTGAGAGGATAGCTAGTGTTATGAAGACCAGACGCACTAAATCAGAAGTTGCAAGCACGTTTGCGCATCATGTGCCTGCTTGGTGCAATTGGTTCTCTTGTTCTCTGGGTGCTGCGGCCAGGGCCAGGACATGGAACCGCAAGGTATTTGAAACGCTGAAAAACGAGAGG